TCACGTAAACGATGCATATATAGAATGAGAAATGTACGTTGGTCTCATGTAAGTGAAACTTACGTAAGCATTGGTATCGGTGTCCACACAATACAACATGGAAATCGGTGTCTTACTGTATCAATTTCCATCATATCCCTTCCTGATTCGTCCGCTTGGTCAACTTGCATGTTAAATTATAAAATTTAACATAACCGAAAGCAAACTGCAACATCCGACATCCCATTCTTTACTTCTATCCAAACCGCAGAACCAAAAAATATTTCAGCAGAATTCTGGACATGCTTTCCGGAACTACTCGAATTTGACGGCTCGGCCGACATTATGCTAATTTGCATTTAAAGGATCGGGAGATAATTAACAATCTATTGGGAAAGAGAATGCTGTTTCTCGGCAACTGCTGAATGATAGTTGTTGAGAAGATCAAGAATAGTATCATATATTGAGAGATTACAGAAATCACTAGGATTAGCTAAATAACACTTTACCAGTGATTGAGGAAATCCACACAGAATGATGTAACAGTGAGTGAGTGGAAAAGAAATAAGCTGCTCTCGAGAGAGAAATTAAAGAGTGATAAGATTTTTTGTGCCTAAAAGATGATGCTATGAAGAATTGTTGACGAAAATGAGAAAAGTTTTTTTCCTTATAAATTTAAACGAAGGAATTTGTACCAGATATATTTTGTTAGCAAAAAATTAATAAATATAATTTTAGGGTCAAATTGTATTTGAAGGAATTGCTATCATTGATGGATGATCGTTCACGTTCAGATCTACGCTTTACCCGTGAATACTTCAGTTCTCCACGCAGCGTTAGAGTAAAAATTAAAATTCCATTTTTTTTTTAATACAGAAAATAAGAACTTGATGATTTATTATGATGATTTATTATTTTAGAATTTGATCAAATAATCTTTTGATTTGTTAAGTGATTTCATTAGGCATTATGTATAAATATGAACTTTTGTATCCAACTATCAGGTCACCATTACATGTAATTTGATAAGCATTATCACTATTTTAATCAAAGTTCTTTAATCCGAATTATTAGGTAATCATTTTCATTTTGCTTCGTAACTAAGGAATCGGATAATCAAATTTAGAATTTAATGATTTAATTTCTATGAGTTGAACTTTCAATGAGTTAATTTTATTTATTTTTATTTAGCTTAAATCGTTTCATTTGGTATAAAATTGGGAAGCTAAGTTAATCCGATTAACCTTTTTCCTTTTTCAATTATAACGATTACATAAATAATCAGGAAACAATTATTAATAGAAAAAAAAGAGAGACCTTATCAGTGAAAACTAAATAAGATAATAATTTAGCAAATTAATTGGTCCATTATTTAGCATAAAATCAAGTAAATTCATTTCTGCGCGGTTCATTGCTTGATTTTCGTTATATGGATTGCTTATCAAAATTATTTGATACTGAAATTCACAGGAGCTCAAATACGATAAATTTTGTTTGGTACAATGTTTAACTTATTTCGCTCTTGCAATTTTATTTCATTTGTTTCATTTTAGTTAGTTTTTCAGGAAGAACATGAAATGAAACGCGGGCGTCGGATCCATCACTACAGCGGCAATACAGATATTCGAGAAGATAGGTCAAGAAATGCGACGGTAACGATTATGGCTCGTCCTATTGCTATTTTGTCGAAACCTAAAGGTCATTTTTTTGCAATCAAATGTTACTTCTATAAGTCTGTTGATTGGACATTGTAGAACTTATTTTTAGGAAGTATCATTTCAAATGAAGGTTTTTTTCGTTGTTTTTCTTATCGATGTGATTGAAATAGATTTTTTTGTGAAGGAAGATAGCATAAATTGAAAGCTTTTCAAAATTAAAATCGAACTTTTTTTCAAGTTCAAGTTCATTTGTCTGTTTGTTTAAAATATCTCATTTTTGTTATTTATTTTCTAAAAAAAATGATTTTTTGCTCCAAATTAGTTTTTGCAATTCAGAAGAACCAACCACATCCGAGAATGCAGAAAGCAGTCAGAAGATATCTCAAGCTATTTCCCAAGTAATCATTTGACAGTAATTATAGTTACGTTAACCCTACACTTATTTATTACATGATTAAGATAATAAAGAAGCATATTTCATTTCTTGTAAATTTGTTGTTGCAGGAATTGATACCGTCCGGAATAACTCGTCCAAATTCTGCATCACGAGCTAGTGGACCTTCAAAGACAATTAGAAGTCCCTCCCTCCGAACAGATAAGACACGTTAGCTTTTTAAAACTAATGGCATGGAAGGAAGTTTCTATTGTTATCAAATTTCAATTTTTAAATTAAAAAAAATTGAGTTTCGAGGATTGATAGAATGGTTTTCAGAAATTTGTCGGAATTCAGCAACAACATCAAATATTATGGAACAATCTCTTGGGATTATGAAAGCAGCTGTGCGTTTACTTTCTGACGCGATGGATTTTACGGATGTTGTTGCGGTTTGTTTTTTTGCTTGGGAAGAAAGATGAATATGTGATAGTTTTAATCGTTGTTCCTATAATTCCAGGGATGAAAAAAAATTTCTAGTTATCTCTACAGGATAAAATTTTTGAAATTCTCGTAGATTTGTAAAACTTCATATTTAATCTGTATTTTTCAGGATTATTTATCCACTACAAATACAAATTTTACTGTCATCGGTATTATCGGTCCACAGGGTTCGGGTAAATCAACACTTCTCAGCATGATAGCTGGTAATAATCACATGGATATGTACAGGTCTGCAGTATTTTCATTGAATATTTTAAAGCTTCATCAGCTTAGTATAAAATCACCGTTAGCCTAATTAGGGAGTGCAAGTAAATGATAAGTGAGGAACTCCATGCATCATTTTGCACTGCTGATATTTCATCTCTCTCTCTCTCCCTTTAGGAGATGCGTTGAATATATGAAGAATGTTGGTATTTTGAAGATTTCTCTAATTTTTTTAATCAGGATTTTTTTCATTCAAAACAGTGCTTACTTTTTCATTCTCGACTAGTGACCATATCCTTTTTTTAAAGCTTTTTTTTTACAATGTAATGAATTAAGGCATATTAATATTTTAATACAGTTGTATACTTTACTGTTTTAGGCATTATGCTTTTCGCCCGGCATCTCGCGAAGCAGTTGAATGTTGCCGTTTTCAATCCCAAAAGATAAGCATTTATGTAACCAAGTCGAGGATGCTTTTACTGGACTGTCAGGTAAATTTTGCCATGTTCGTTTGCCATGTTTAAGTGACATAGCAATACTTTCATTTCCAAAAATATAATCTGTAGATCAATTAACATAAGATTAGGACCTGCATGTGTATATGAGTACTTCTAACGAATAGACGTTGAAAGTTGCTCTGAATAATTTGTAAACAGTGTTGTTACCATTAAGGTAATAATAGATTAAAGAAGTTTTATCAGTAAGTATTACGGTATAACACATTTGCAAGAGAAATGCTGTTAAATGCAATCTCTGAAAATTTTTTAATTTGAAGATTTAGAATTTGGAACTAAGAAAAAAACTAAATTTGATGAAAAAGTTTAATCCTTTTGTTACTTCAACAAATGCATATTGTAGGCAATCAGCTCCGCTTCGATTCTTAATCACCTGTTAATTACATCATCGTTAGATGGAAATCGTTTGGGAGGTTCAAAAGCAGCGGATCTTCGTCGAGGATTTATGGCGCTATCAGGAGAAGTTGAAGTATTACCAAATATTCTCAATGTGGCATTCACAAATTTTCTTCTTAAGCATTTGTTGAAGTAACAAAAGGATTAAATTTTTTTCTTCAAGTTTAGTTTTTTTTTTAGTTTCAAATTTTATATCATCAAATTGAAAATTTTTCAGAGCTTGCATTTAACAGCATTTCTCTTGCAAGTGTGTCATACCGTAATACTTTCTGTGGATTGGTTCGTTGATATTGATGTGATTCGGCATGTACGGACAGCAGAAATGCTTCGCGTAACACCGACTCATTACTCACCCGAAACAATGAAATACAAACCGAATCGTAAAATTAATATTGGTAATTTTATATTTTTTTTGTAATATTTTTGCTCATTCATTGATTAATCTGGACTTATTAGACTAATTATAAAACCCATGAAGTGGTTATAAGCTTATTTCCAGAATCGACATTAATTTTAACGCAGGTTTTTCATGATGATGCAGTAAGAGTTATATCTACACTGACCGTGTGAACGAAAATCATGATATTATCATCATGATATCATGATATTCGTTAGGTTATTGATTTAATATACCTCCTGATTGGATAAATTATAACATAGGAAGCAGAGCAATCGATAAAAGTTGATATTTTCCAGTGTTAGCCCATCAACGAGCTAAGTCAGAGGACTTTCAGCCAAGAAATGTGAGAAATCGAGCCAAAATTTTGGAATGCTTATTCAATGATTCACAACTGAATATAAAAGGTGGCATATCATTAGGCGGTTTGGGATGTAAACCGTATAGTGATATCGTATCCAATATAAATTACGTACTATTATCAGAAATGAAACCACGACCAAAAATGGAAGCATCTGTAGCCGGTGGGTTTCTCTCTCATTTCATATTTATTCCCAAAAGTTTTCGATGGAAAACCAATGGATAAAAAATTTTGTTAAATGAAGGATAGCTGGTTTTACCGTTATCGTTTAGCTCCCTGTCCGAATACGTATTTGAAATGTTATATTTCTGATTTGTAATTTAATCCTCGATATTACAAATCCTAAAGGTTTAAATGGAACAGTATGTGTTAACTTAGTTTAAAATTTTATTTTGTACTGTAACTCAAAAAGTTTGAACTAAAACTTCCTTGTTTGTTAAAGATTTAAATTTCAAACATCTTATTAATTTTTGATAGGTCGTCTTATTTACCAACAGATTCATTTTTTGATACGATAATTCGTGTCGTTTTGGTGTTAAGATTTTTTATTTAAGTTTTGCCATTTATGACTGTGGATCACACTCCCTTACGAGCAGTTGTTGATTATGAAGATGTTATACGTCCGTTACGGATTCGATTGCTGTCATTACCGAAAGAACCATTTATTCTTGGAAATCAACCTTTTACAGAAATTCAGTGGTAATCATTTCTTTATTGTTATCGATTTATCCTTTGTAAAAATTTTTTTAAGACTATAAAGTGTTATTTCAACAGAAATCTCAAATCAGGAAAATAGTCTATTTTTTTGGTTACAAACCAACATTGAATGCATAAGCTGGGTAATGTTTTCAGAATACCTTTGTTTACAGGTATGAATTTGCTACACGAACCTGGCGAGCAACATATGGGAATGCGGAGATTGCGAAATATGCATCGTTGATAACGAAAATTACTGATGAGTGATAGGTCACTGGAAATACTAGCAAAATATTATTATAGCTGGAATGTTGTGGACGAGTCCATTTTAAGCCTTTCATTTATTGGGTATTGATTTTTGTGAATGATTCCACCGCAAAATGAAATATCTTCCTGGTTTCTTTATTACATTTATAGTTCAAATCAGATTTCCAATTCAAAAATTTTTAGTCCCATTAGTTTAAAAAGAGACTTTTTGGATTTAAATTTCACAGTCCCTAAGCCTGTCATCTTTTTTTGACTTGATATTAACTTGAGATAAAGTTCAATTTCTTAGAGTGAGTGGAAGATTTTTGTATGCTTTTTTTCGACTATCGTTTCAAGTTTAAAGAATCATTTTGATTCTTTCAGTAATTGTAAAGAGATGCAATATAGATGTCGTGTAATCTAAGATGGAAGACATGATCGTAGATTGATGATATTAAATTCATCACTGTTAGGTCTTAGTTTGTTGAACCAGTCTTTATTTCCTAAAACTTTTTGATTAGGTATTACATTCTAAATATAAACCGCTACAGTTTTGATCAGTAAATAATATGTTGCTTTAATGGACTTTTTATTCTTTTGTTAGTTCGAAAAAGAGCGATTTTGTGCTTAAGTCTTCATGTAATGCGAGTATGAAGATCGAAATCTTTAATCTTTCATATCTCTTTATATTTGTTTTATCATTCGCAGTCTTTAACTCTTTGATTTTAAATTCAATCTCTTCCTCACTGTACATTTAAAATTATTTGATGAAATATTAGACGATAAAACTTCCCGTTTCTTGGAAATTTTTGTCCTTTAAAACAAAACTCTTTATGGCCTTTTTGAGACGTATTGGCTGTTATAGTATGTATACTTCGGGTAAATGTCGGAATGTATTTATGTTATATATTCACATTTTCTTTGGTTGTTTTAAATTTTTTGAATTGATAAAAGTTAGTGTGTGAGCACTAAATATGTCAAGCACCGGTTATTATCGGAGGCAATATGACATTTTTTTATAATGGGTCATCCCAATTAGTTCAGTGTTGATTTTGCGGCAGATATGGCTAAAGAATAATCGTATTAATTGGCTTTAAGTAAGTTCTTATGGAGAATTGCAAAAATTGATAGCTTACTAGGTATGCTTTACGTGATAAGTACTGTATCACATATCAAAATTTCCTATTTATTGTTATTGTATCGTTTTCCGGTGAAATTTTGCCTCAGCTCACTAATAATTACGAAAGTCTATTTTATACAAAATTGGACAATATAGCACAATAGAATCAGTTAAAATTTTATCTGTTGAGATACATTAAGAATTCAATTTATGGTTTAAAGGTTTAAATTTTTTAATGCAAGCACAAGACATTATATCATTTCTATTGCTAATTTACGTAATTTATTATGAATAAAAAAGAATGTATAATATCGGAAAGTGCCATTTCATTAGTCCTCATGCTAACAAAAATTTCTCGAATTGTTCAGATGGAATGTTAAGTTTGCTTTTAAAAGTTCAAACCCAATTTTTGTGAAATGCATTTCCATTGGCCTAAGCAATAAAATGATACATTTTCCTGCACTGTAATTCAAATATTCAGGATATTTTCTCACATCTACCTTTTTCAAACACTGTAACTTTTGCCATTTAGAAAGTTCTGCCATTATACATTCCACATTCTGCACATTCTGGCAGTGTAGCGTTCAGCGTTTGAGGATATATTCTCACTTTATAAATTCAAAATGTGAAATGTTCCAGCATTATTTAGTATTCAACGTTCTAATATTATTGACATTTATGGCATTTCGAGATTGTAATAACCATATTTGGTTTTTTTTTCAGCTCTGTTACTTCACATATACGACATCCCGGCATTGGATTTTGATATGGCGATTATGTATGTTATTTTGGAACTTAAGATTATTAATTCGAAATGTATTCTGTCTTTATTATTTGACATACACGATAGGGACAGAGCAATGATGGCAATAAATTGATGAAGTTACACAATATTAGAAATAGGTTGAATGAAATTGTCAAATTAGTTTATGAGTAGTTAAAATATATTTCAAAAATTCCATAACGATTCTTGATCAATCAATGAATTATTTACCATTCTTTTGCTGTGCAGATACGATGTATATAAATTCTAATAAGGTGTGCTATTTTCTTTTTGACATTTTGAAAGTAATTTAAACAACTGCAAAAACAACGAATTTATATGATTTTTCAACTAAGTGAAAGATTGAAATCCAAATTGCTATTATTTGATTAGTAATTTTAGTAACAAATGAAAACAAACTTGTTTTGCATTAAAAGTTTCCATGCATATATAGTGGGAATTTTTGATTGGAAAATACCATCAGAATTCAAGAATTAAAATTTGATTAAGATGAGATAGAAATTTTTTAGTGGTTCTTCATGCCTTCTTCTTATCGTAAAGTTTCATTTTCCTTTTTGTTATCGGTTTTTTAAGGATTCATTTCTTCATTATTTTGCTTAATTCGAATTTGAGTAAATTAGTTTAAATTTCGAAAAATCTTGGCGGCAATAATCATTTATTGGTCATTTTCATCCAATGAAATTCGAATTGCTTCTTAAACTTTTACATATCATTTTATCTGCTGTATAATTCGATTTGTCCAAATGTGTATGTGTGTGTGTGTGTGTGTGTGTGTGTGTGTGTGTATGTATGTGTTCATAATACATATTAATTTTTATATTTTGTCCTGATTGCCCAATCAATCAAATCAGTTTTCCCTTTATCTTTAATCAATTAGTTTTTCAAAAGTTCGCTCATATCATTTACTTTCATTTGCAGTTATCATAGAAACCTGATATTCTTTATCATATGTCTTTCGCTTCTCAATACTTTTCGGAAATAGTTGTGTTGCTATCATGTCGAATTTGTTTGTTATGACCCGAAAATATTGAAGTATATCGATGTCATAGTTTTTTACATTCAGTTGTTCGGGAATATCAAACAGTTGCCTCATGGCTTTTAAAAAAACAAGCTTAACTTAACATCTTTTACTTGTGCTATTTTAAAATAATAGCCTATTTCCGAATTGAGATCCTCAGATAGCGAGTAGTACCGTAACAATTTTATCATTTTAATTTTTCTCCATGGTTTCCTTTCATCTGCACTTATTTGCTTTTTTGATCGCTTGTTTAAACCATGCTTAATTATTTATTTTGTAGTTATCGATAATTATTCGGAATGATAAATTTGGATAACATAATTTGTAATTGATGATAGTTCCATGCTTAATTTAGATACAATTCCTGAAAACTTAATGTCAATGATATAAACAGCATGAACCAATTTTCCACACTAAATAATTTTACATTGCAAGTTGCCGTGACTTTTATTGCTTGGTATTTTGTTAGTTCAGCATCTAGTATTGTCAACAAAATTACATTACAGGTTATTATTATTGCTTTTCTTTAATTTTAAAATAATCATTTGATCAAATTAATTGAGTTCGGCATTGTTTTTTTTTTAATCTTTGAGTCTAAGTTTATATTACTTTTTTTCAGAAATTTTAAAAAATATTCACTGACATCTAAATGCCAGAAATTTCAATTCTTAGCAAATTACATTTTTATTCTAGTTAATGTTGAAAATGTATACTTACCTTCAACAATTCACTAGTATGAGTATTATTATTTATTTGTAATTATCAATTCTTTATTTTATTTATAGAGCTATCCGTATCCTATGACGGTTGCTTTGATGTCACTTTGTTACGTTGAACTTTGTTCCATTCCGGTGCTTCGGTTATGGCGTATCAAGCAGCTACCTGTATCGAATTATTATCTTATATATTATATCATTCCAATCTCATTTGGTAAAGTGATTGCTGTTGTTAGTGCATATGTAAGTGTTTGGAGAGTGTCAGTTTCATATGTACAAACAGGCAAGTTGTTTTAATTATTAGATAAGTGGCATGTTTTAAAGTAAGCTTCGTAGCCTACATTATTTGTAAATGAAGATCATACTTAATTAATAATTTTATTTACAGTCAAGGTTAGTTCTGCTTCTCAAAAACGATAACTTTTTCATTAACGAAATACTGCAACTGATTAAATTTGATAGTAAATTTGGCATAAATTTAATTCTTTTTTGATTTCATAATTCATGCTATTGTTTTATTTCAAGCAAATTCTTATTTTATACATTATCATATATTTATAGTGAAATCAACAATGCCGTTATTTGCCGTTTTTTCTGCTCGGATCGTTCTGAAAGAGCGCCAAACCAAGCGTGTTTATCTGTCACTAATACCGATCATAATTGGTGTAGCTATTGCTACATTTACCGAATTATCGTTTGATTTAGGCGGTTTATTAAGTGCTTTATTGTCTACCGGTATTTATTCTGTGTTAAATGTTTTTGTTAAAAAGGTTCGGCTTTTTCTATATTTAATTCAAAAATTTGACTGTCATTCCTTTTACAAACTACAGATAGCTACGGTATGGTGTAGTTTGAGGAATTACTGGATTTTTTTTTCTTTTTACTTCTGAAGCGAATAGAACAGTGGCAGATGTTGCCATCAGATGGAATCGGTGTAAGTAAATATAGATTTAGTGAATATAGATTTACAATGTAGATTTATTGATCAACAATATAGATTTAGTGAGTGAAAGTTGGGTGATCTCAATAATCGTATAAATTCTTAATTAGAAAATAAATCAAACCAAACTGGTTAAGTTATAAAGTTAATATCATCGATTTGTTGTAAATAATTAATATTTATATAGATTAGACTTGTTGTTGTGCTTAGGCTTAGGAGATATACTGCACTGAATAAACAATAGCAGTCGATTGTTTTGTTATGGCAATTCTTACTTCAGATATTGGAGGATACTGATATTCATCCACTTCATTTGCTAGCCATAAATTCTCGTATTGCTGCTATCTTATTGTTTCCTGTTTGGTGTCTTCGTGATGGCTTACTATTGTGGCATGGTGTTGAATTAACAGTATGTAGTTTCTCTTTCCTCTTCATTTATCCAG